GTTACAGGCCTCCAACTAGACTCTGCCCCATCATTTTAGCTTATCTCAAAATTACACTGTAGTAAAATAGTCACTGGTAGCAAAACATCAGGAGAATACCTGAAATCCTGATTTTTCATTATTATTAAGTATAAAGAATTGCTATAACCAGGAAGTCCATGGCTTGGTCTTTTTACCTGCGTCCTCCTTTAATACTTTTGGGTTTCCTTCCTACAAAACCATATTTAAAGCTGTTTCTAACATCCCCAAATTTTGAGGCTCTGACCAAATTAGCCTGGCAATTGGAGGCGGTAATGACCCTGCAGGCTAACGAGCAGCGCAGGCTCCTTAGATGTGTGCAGCCTAACGACCTCCACCCCATGCTGACGGGACAACATGTTCCCATCCACTAAGCTCTGACCAGAACGTTTCCAGCTGTGCTGTGAGATCACCAAAATGGCATTTTTAGGCTTTGTAATCAATAAATCACTACAGAGCAGCACTTTCCTCACTCCTCCTTTGATGGGTGGAGATGACAATAGAAGCAAGGTGTGCTTTAATTGTGCTGGGAAATTATCAAATGGCTTTGAACACTTATTTTTACAGACCTAGAACCGATAGCCTGACAATCACTACCTGGTGAGATGCTGAAAGCCGGACAATACTTTGGCAAACCTGAAACACATCTGTGCTTCTGACATCCTGCAAGGTACATTAAAACCTTTAAATAATAGAGTCAAGCAGCAAGGACTTCCTCAGATCATGTTTATCTTGAAAAGTGGCGAGAGCTGCCAATATGACAATGATTTTTTATTATTTCTTCTGATTTTTCCATTTTGCTGAGATACTTACTGTAAAAACGGCATCAGCACAACGCAGGAGCGAAGAAGGGGTCTCCTCTTGATTTCTCTCCTGAAACATGCATTTTGCTGGAACCCATCTTTGATATTTAAGATGTATTGGTTATGCCAGGTGATAAACCGAACCTCCTTCAGACCCCGGCAGCTGGCTTCTTCTATCAGTCTGACAACAGGCTGAAACAGAAAATGAAGAAAACAAAACCACACACATGACAAATTACATACTCAAAACTTCGGTTTTTTTGTCAGAGACCTCAAAGAATCCCTCTCTACTCCCTTCCCCTCTCCTCTGAGGCACAAATATATTTAAGTCACTGAAAAATGCCCGTTACCTGTTTATAAGATCTGCCAACAAGGCAGGTTTCACAGCTTTCCTAATAATTGGTGCTGGTGCTCTCATCTTTTTATATGCCAAATGTTATTCCCAATATCTAACCTAAAACTCCCTTGCCACAAACTACTTACTTGTTGTCTTTGCTGGCTGAATGTAAAAAGCAGGTCTGCTGTGGAAATCTTTTATAGATTAGTATATTCTCATCCTTGCTTCCTACCACACTTAGGAAGTCAGAGTGGCGCATGAGAAAGATAAACACAATTTAGTTTACACTGGTACTGCCCAAATGGTAACACACTCATGAGGTTTTATTAAAAATATTATGTACAGCTGTGGTCAGCCGAAAATGAGCTCTTAGAGCTTAAATTAACAGAAATATTCTGGGTTTGTCCAGCACAATCCTGTCTGACAGTGGCTGTGACTTCTGTGTCCATAATTGGGGTTAGAAGGCCAAACTGTCAAATCTGAGAGCACACTGGCCCATGTCAGTACCAACTGACTAATCCCTGAAATTTTAGGACAGAGAGGACAGCTTTCTGCAACCTTTTCTGAGCCTGAAAATTTGGTCAGCCTCTGTCTCCCACGTTTTCAGCAATAATTCATGGTGCAGCCCAGCACAGCAAAACTCTTTCATTGCTTTTTCAGTTCAGCACTGACCTTCTTGATTACCTTCCTCAGGGATACCTCTAAGTAACTTTCCTGAACGTTCAAAGAGGAAAAAGAACAAAAATGTACATAGTTTATAGTATATAACCCAAAAGCAGGATTTTGGGAGGTGTTAAATACCTCTGAGTACTCCCTCCAGCCGAAGTGGTCCCTGCAGAAGTATTTCCAGACAGTGAAGGAGCTGGAGCTGGAGCTGGGGCAGGAAGGTGTGGACAGCCGCCGCATTTGGTCAAACTCAACTGTTTCGTACAACTTCATAGCATTCAAGTCCACCCAAAACTCATGGGCCCTGGAAAGAACAAGAAAAACAAAGGATTCTTACATTTTGTAAGCCATTAAAAAGATCATTCAGAGAGGAAATAACAGACATTGGCATCATCCTCCTTAGAGGAGAGTGCCCAGCCCCATCACCGTGAGGACGTCCCCTGAGTCTGACGTAGGCGCAACACTGAAAAGCTGCGAGGGCAAACAAGCTCCTCAAAACTCCAGGGAACAATGGAAAAAACGTGGTTTTCAGCACAGAAAGAGGAAAAAAACCCAAACCCAGCAATCCTCCTAGTCCAGCAATATTTATTCAGTATGCTTGAATGGTACAAAAATCAATATACATATCCTTGACATTTTGAGCATCTGAGTAAACACATCGCACACTGCAGGTTCTTCTTGTGAAAGGTGGTGCTTTGGGGGAGAAAAGGAAATGTAAATGGCTGCAGATGAGGAGCATCTGCTGCCCACCCACCAGAGAGGCTGAGGATCTTTCATCACGGGCAGAAGAGAAACAGCATAATCTGCAAAGGAAATATGATTTCACAATTCTGGAGCCTGCACTGCGGAACACTGGCTTTTTCTGAGTAGCTACATTGCTGCTACAAAAATCAACATTAATGTGCAACTTCATGTAAAGTGACCAGTGCTGTCAAAAGGACCCAACAACAACAGAGGGTACAGACCAAGAATCAGGCTATATGCTTCATCTAAAGGGGAAAATTAAAGTGCATTTCCCCTATGTCATATTTAACAGTGCTGTGGAACACCTCAGCAAAGTGTCCCCAATGCTGTTTCATCAGTCGGTGTTAAGAGACGTCAAATAAACCCTCAAGTAAAGCATGGAGGCCTAAAGCTCTGCTGCTCCTTAGACCATCACTGGTTCATCAGTAATCACGAAGTTAAGAAACACACAGAAACAGAAGTAAGTGACAACAATAATATTCATTTCCTACAAAAGTAACTTTTCTAGAACTCAAATTAACATATTTCCAAAATAATGGTGTTTACCTAATTAGTTTTCTACTTCTATAATCTTCACAAGTTGGCAGTTTACTGCTATTCATTAACAGCTCCTCAGCTTTGGCAACTGGAAATGAAAATATCAAATATTTTCTTAATAGCAAACATAAAACAAGCCAACACCTGAAATCTACTGTTTATTTTTAAAATTTTGGCACATTATGCCACAAACATCAAAGCAATGTGTATGAAATCTGGCACATGTTCTAAACACCCAGATGATTTTATGAATGCAGATACATGTACTTTCTGCGGTGAAAGTCTCCTAACACACCCCACCTTCCCGGTCTGCAGCTGTTTTGTTCCATAACAACACACTAAATCTACTTTATTTGAAAACAAAGCATGAAATCATGAGGAAATAATCTCTCTGAAATGCCAAGCTGTGATATTATTTACAGTATTTGCAGGCAGCACCATAAGCATGATTTTTGGAGTGAATTTATTCATGAATACATTTTTAATGCTGCTTCAGGGATATTTGCGTTTGCTTATCAAAAATGTAGCCTTACAATTCTGAATTTCAGTGTCTCAAAGCTGCCACCTTTAAGAAAAGCAAGTTTAGTGATTGATGCCATTTATATTACTCTTTAGGAGTGAAGAGTTGGCCTCACTGTTTTGGGGTTATGTCACACCTACAAATCCAAGGCCTGAATCAAGGCCACAAATACTGTGCTGCATATTCTATGAAATAAATACTCAAATAGGTATTTCCCAATACAAAGCCTCCCAATATGAGCATTCATTCTCAACTTGATCTCTTTTCAAGTCAAATACCATAACACAGCTCCCCGTACTCCAAATTCCTGGACCTCCAAGAAAGCGCAAAAAAGCGGAAAACCTTTGCTTTTCAAGGTGCAAACGCAGAGGACTATTTAATTTTATTATAACTCTGTACGCTGCACGTGTGACAGTGAAAACTGATGATGGTTGCAGTAGTTCTGTGCCAAAGCAGTGCAAAGTACAGATTATCTGAAAATCAACATAGCTGTAAATGCGATAAAGATCATCCACCAGCACCATAACCCAGCTCCTAAGGCTCCATCTGAGATCTATAAGGCCAGCAGCAAGTGGCAGCTTATGGGGAAAACTGCTTCTCTGAAAGCTAAAGATTTTTCTGCGAAACCTGTACAGAATGTACCAAATTCTTTCTCAGGCCTGAAAAATGTACCGAGTGTCTGCTGCTTGGAATATTTCACATTTTTGGAGCTGTTTCTGCCTCCTCTTTCTTGGATTCCCCTCCCTATAAGAGGGGGCCAGGATGGCTCAGAACCTAATAAACCTCTCATTATTTCTTGAATTCAAAACATAGTCAGGATAGTTGTTGGTGAGGTAACCTCTATCCATCTCTCTTAGCTGTGAATAGGAAAAGGTTCAG